TCCATGCCAATTGTTTTCCTGTTTTGAGAGGAAAGGCAGTCCCAGGAGAAAATCTATACTAAAAGGAACGCTACAGAAAGATCTGCAGTCAGACTAAAAATTACTTACAGAAATAAAACTATACTTCTACATGAAGAAAAGCATAGTTGGACAACATATAAACAAGTCTGGACTAATGTATAATCTTCCACCATAGATTTGGAACTAAAGCATTATCAAGAAACTAAAGGAAAAGTCTACAGACACTAAATGCCTTAATACAGAATCTCACACATGCTTAGGAAAAAAAAAAATTAAAGTTTGTTTATTAATGCTACTTCATCTTACTATTACATAATTTATCCTTGCCAAATGCAGCCTCATTGTGACATATGGACTTCTCATGTGAAATTCCAACACAGACTTGATTCAAAGCAGAATACACTCAGCCCATGAAACTCTGCTCATATGCAGCTCTTCAAGGCAAATCATGTAAAACCTTCAGCCTTTTGATGACTTGCACCTGTTTTACAATATTTTTGAAGAATGCCTGGATACTCAGAAATTGCTTTCTCCCCCCCATCTAATTTCTTCAGTTTCACTTCAAGTTTGCCAAAAGCACACTAACAGCAACAATGGCATAAAGAAATCTAGTCCAATCAATGAACAGACAACTGTTTAATACAGCCAATAAAATGTACTCATCCGAATCAGTCAGATCATGTTTTCTCCAAACTAGTAAACACCTGCAGACACAGTCTGCTTCCCATCAAATGTTCCATGTATAACAAACTATACCTTGTATCTCTGATGGTTCACTAGTAATTTTTCAATACCATGACTTTCAAAACATATGACAACTATATTTTATTAAAGAAGGGAATAGATTTAGACTGTCCAAGCCACAAATTAAAGACCAATCCAGAAACTCTACTGTAGGTGCCAAAAGTCTGCTGAATGTCAGTATTTGCTGGCATTTTTATTATTATGAATACAAGTGCAGACCAACTTCTTCAAAGAAGAAATACACTTCAAGCATGACAGAAAAGGAAATGCTCACAACTCCTATTATAACAGCACGGGAGCAGAGAAAAATAACTCCTTTAACACTGTCTGGAAAAAGTATCTCAAAGGAGTAGTTAGAAAAGTGTTTAAAAGATGGAGAACCTTAAAGATAAATGTATATCCTACATTCTGGTCTTCTGGTAACACTGCTACAACAACCAGCAACTTCGAAGAGGTAGTAAAATTTTGACTGCCACTACCCTTCGTGAGACTGTTAAAGTACAAAATGTCTATCCACCGTACTTTTTTGTGACTTATTTTAAATTCATTCACAAGAAAAAAATCATTGCTTGTGCAAGAAGACATGGAGGAAGCTAGCCAGACTGAGACACATTTTCAAATCTCTGAACAGCAATAAAATATTATGATCTTAAATCATGTATTTACTATTTTTGTGTGACTACATACATAAATTTGTGCCTCTTTAAATATTTACCTCACTCCTGAACACGCTTCAGAGAGCTGATTTTGCTCTAACACAACTGTTATAAACTAAAATTAAGTGCATACTTTCTCTGATTGAGCACAACAACAAACAGGGCACTAAATTGAGATTGAACAAACAGGAAACAATGACCCAGACTACAACCTCTCACACAGAGCAATGGACAGTAGTCTGGTGAAAAATGGGTTATCAGTGCCTAAAAGTTTTATCCTACCCTAAAACTCTTATCCATATTTGCAGCCTGGTTTCCTGTGCCACACAACACCAAAAGAGCTCCCCTGATGTTGTTGGGATGCTCTATGGAAGTACAGTAAAGAAAATTGGGATTAATGTCACTTTTAGGAGTCATTAACTGTAGCTACAATGTCCACATGGCTATCCCCTGAAACACAGAAAGAAGAGCTGTAATAAAGTTCTTTCCTGTATCTGGTTATGTATGGTAAGAATTGCAAGAGCTGACATTCATTTCATCCCTTTGAGAGTTCTTGAAATTTACCTGATAACAGCAGCAGGTGCTTAATCCAGGATCCCAAATACGCAAAACTCAAACCAGAAAATAATCTGGCTGTAAATTACCAAACACTTACGTGCATTAATCTTTGAAAGTGAAGTTAAGCATGTTAACTTTGAGGACAATGGCAAACCATCTCTGCAATGCCTGGGGACTGCTGACACATTATTGTTAAGTAATGAATGAATGAATTCCTGAATATAACATAAGTCCAGTTTCTAGAAAATTTTTGGTGATATGCTCAGTAAAAAGACTTTCTGGACTGTGACAGGGCAGGCAAAGTAAACAGCTAGAGGTTTAATTTCCAGTATTTGGCTCCTATGTGCAACTGATTAATCAGAATTAGAAAACCTGTGGAAAGTCTGTGGTTAACTGAAGAAAGAACTTCCCTCCTTTTTTTTTTTTTTTAAAGTATAATTCATATATTAAGGAATGTGTGCCATACTTGATGCATGACTTTAGCAAAGATTAACTGTAAATAACTACCAAACAACTGCATGGCCTGTTTTCCAACATGTATAGAAAGACAGACAGTCCATAATGTAATGTCTTGAGTTTCAGCACTAACATAATAGAAGATTTCCTGCTGATTTTACATCAGCTTGTGGCACAGGTGCAAAGGACTTAGGTTACTGGCAAGCGTAAGGAAAATTAATCTAGAAGCCAAAAGAGCAGTTTCTCACATTCCAAAAACAGTTTATAAAATTAATTGCAATAGCATACGCATCAGCTCCGGATGTGTAACCAGCTACGCTACCAATGACCAATACAATCAGAACACATAAAAAAAGCCAAAGACTTCTCTCCAAAGGTAATTGATATAGACAGATCACATAACCAATTACTGGGAAATGGTCCATCCAAGTTATTCCTGGAAATTTCTGGGTCTCATATAAGAATAAAAAAAATTCTGTTTTCATTAAGAAAAAAAAAATAGAAGTAGAAGGAAAACTTCTGTCTTGCAGGAAACTTAATTTGAAGTGAACATAATTTATCTTTCTAGCTACTACTGCAAAAGCAGCAATTTTCAGTAGATGAGTCACTAATGTCTCTTAAAGCTATGGATATACATACAGGCTATATTTTAGCCCTATACCTCAGGTGTTACAACTTCCAGAAGAAATCTCAATTGGCTCATTAGAAGAAAGATCAGATAATAGAATAACTTACTTCAGTACAAACTTCTTCTCATGACAAGAGGGAAGAAATAAAGTCAGGTTTTGTGCAACTACTCTCAACAGAGCCACAGCCCATAGAGCTGACGTAACTGTCACAAACTAAGTAACTTCCTTCAGCGTGCCAAAACCCAAAGTCACATACCTTACCAAACTATCTAAAACGATCTCAGAAACATTTCTGGATGCCACAAAACACATGGAAGTATAGAGGGGCATAATGGAGGTACATATAGTCAGACCACTGTTATTTGATGAAGTTTCGTCAGAGAACTTAAGTATACTGTATCAAGGAATTTGAACCAAATTTGAAAAAGCATGCATGTGGCTCTTTTAGAACAGTCACAAGACAGTAGGCAATCTGGGCTGCTCCTCATCTAACACCAAGACACATGTTCAAAGAACAGTGTGAGAACTGAATGAAAAAGGAACGAAAAGAGTTTCTGATGCTTTAATTATTTCTGGAACTTTGCCCAATAGGAACCTGATGCAAAACTGTATTAAGAACACTTATATATATATCTCACACATGAAAAACCCTTTACACCTAACTACCTCTCTATTTTAAGAAAAAATAGAAACCATAGTTCAATAATATTCCTCAAGCTATAGTCCTCTGCAACACACACTGCCATACAAGCTTAAGCTTATAAAATGCTAACACAAACACAGGGCATTTTTCACTTAGATGTATCTCTGCCAGACATTGTTTGCATCCTATTTAAGGGCTGCAAGACTCAAAAAGCTACAGATCCAGTATTGCTCCCTTTATACAAACTTAAGTTTGGATGAGTCACAGGAAATCACAGAAGTATAGTACTTCATCAAACGCAGCCCACCTGAAATGCCTCATGTTAACCAGGAAAAAATTGTCAATTATTTTACTGATTAATCATCATCTCTGCATTTGCATAAATACAAAGAGAGATGAAATCTACCTAAGCTGTAAACTTCAAAAGGTAGGATGAGGAGACTCTAGATTTTTCTAAATGTGTTTTATATTTATATATTTTCTGTGTTCTGAAATAACCAGTTAGCACGCAATGTCTAGCTTTCCCAAAAGGAAATAAAGTTATTCTCCTTCTACTCTTCACATTTTCTGTGTTACATATATACCACTTTACTTCAAAGGTAATAGTGGCAGATTTTAAAATGACAGTTAAAACTTTTTGCAACAAGCCTGACAGGGATTTGGAGATTTTTGTTTGTTTCATTAAAGATACAACTCAACTATTGCATACATCCTAGTACTAAAAAAAATTAGTCCTGACATCCAGCCTTTGGACTTGGTTTTGACCAAAGTGTTGCTAGAGTGACTACAAAACGCCAAATTTAAATCACTAGTTAGCATCCTGGCATATATATCTGACATCTTGTCCACTTTCTAGTTGATAAATTAATAGATTTCTCCATATAAAAAACACACACCAAATTCTATCCATTCTAGTGAAAGCTGTATTTCATGATCTGGCAGACTCAGTCTTCAAATTAATTCTTAGAAAGTTCCTTATCCTGTCATAAGCCTGGTTTTATTTTTAAAAAGAAAACCCAAAGCTATTATCACAAGATAAGACAGGATTTTACCAGTTACAAAGTATTTCATTTGCAAACAAGTTTCCTGTAACTCTTCTGGCTTTTAGAATTGCATGGGAATGAGTACTCCCTCTTCAGGCACATATTTTATCTGATAAAAATGTCTTTGGGTTAAACTTTAATGAAGTAAAATTTATACAAACCAGTAAAAGTCAAAAAAATTGTCCACAACTTTCCCACAGATGATATGTGAAATGATGACGAGTGGATTTAAATTAGCTTGACACCTTACCTGACAGGCTTTCTTTCACGCAGCAAATCTTCCAGACTCTTTTCACAGTGTTCAGCTGCCACCACCAGCCTCTCTAATAGGATTAAAAAAAAAAAAAAAGACATATTGCAGGACTGGAATCCAAAAGTGATCCTGGTCGTACAGACTTCACACTGTACCTATTTATCAGATGTTACAGTATTTTGACATATACTGTATGGAAAATTACACATAATTAAATGTTAGAGATGTACAGTTCATAGATAACGTCACTATTTTTTCTTTATGAGATACAGTAGATTATCTTTCCTGTTTCCTCATGCGAAGCACTGTCAATCCATCCATTCAGTAATCTCCTAACAAATGCTGAAGTCCTCAGCCAGTGTCAGGTAGATTTGACTGAAGAATAGAGGTCTCAAAGATAAATTTGCAGAAATATGTGGCTGGGTTGATGAAAGAGACTCAAAGTAACACCATCTTTGAGAAAAGGGACTCAGACTGAGCACAGGAGTTTCCTACAGCCCTTGCAGGGGTCCCACATGTTCTGAAGGCTGGCTCTGAATACAGGGGAAAATCCAAAGCTGTTGTTGCACTGAAGACAATAATCATACAGCAGGAAAAGACAATGGTATAAGATCTTACATGGGGATATGAGAAGACTCCTGCAGTAGCCAGGCTTTGCTGCTTCCACTACTCATCGACCAGCTAGTAGTTAATGTACAGATTCAAAATCAAACTAAACCATTTCAAACACATTTTTGCAAGATGACTGTTACAGTTAAAGATGACTGCAAGATGACTGTTAAAAAATTGAGGAACACCTGTCATCACATTAAAGCAGGAACGCTTGCAACTCTGTTTCTTCCTTTTTAAAATCAAAGGACCGTTTATGCTTTCTCTGGAGAAAAAAATTCTGAGACTGCCTCCTACAATGCTAGGAAAGATTTAAAAGGCATTCAATTTTAAAAAAAAAAAAATCCATTTGAATGGTTTTCTTTTATTTTTACATTTCCCCTTTGAGGGTCTTCTGGGGGGATGCATACATCTAATGTTTTTTTTTTTTTTGCACTGTTTTCCTAGTCTGCTCTCACATTTCTCTGTAAGAATAGAAAATGACATTTGCAAAAAAAAAAAAACAAACCACAAACATTAAATCATTGTGCAGAGAACTGATGAAAATTGTGTCAGTGTAAGAATGATAAAATTTTCCACCAAATTTGCTATATTATTTGAAAGCTATTAGCTGCTATTCTAACCATTAGGAACAGTCTCCTGACTTCATGATTCGACATTTTATTTGCTATGCATCGAATTACTTCAATTATCAGATAATGTTTTTCCTTCATATTTATACACACAAAATCTTCATGTCATTTACTCGTCATTGTCAAATAGGTAATGTTTTTCTTTTTATTTCTGATTTATTAAATACTATGTTAGTTAATGCTTCCTTTCATCCTAAGCAGTACTGTAAGAAAATTCCAGCTTCCCTTTCAAGAGGTACTAGCAAAAGTAAATGAAAGTGATTAAACTTTATAGATCTCCTGACTGTATAAATGAAAAATTCACATGTTTGAGTGCAAAGAAAAATACACAAAGAACTCCCTGCCCCACAGAATACTTCAGCGTTTGGAGCTGGCAATATCCTAATCTTCTAAAAATCTGAAACATTCTATCGTACTCCAATCTAAAGGGGAAAACATTACTTATTCTACTTTATGAGACCCTGCAGCTAATCAAATACATACAATGTGCTTTTATATGGGAACAATATTGATTTAAAAGTTAAAGGTGGCAATCACTTAAATTGTGACAGGCGTCGCAGCCTTTTTGTGGAAATTAAATGCTGTAGTCCTGCTGAGCTTGCAACGGAATAAGATCATCTAGAGCAGAAAGAAACAACTGAAGCTTTATTTGAGCTAACAATAAGTGTGATAACAGTAACTGACAAAAAATAGCTGTACTAAAATGAAGTAACCATTAGTGGGAGAAATCTTAAAGAGATGGAAAAAAAAGAACACTGGAAGCTTGCAGCCAAAACACAAGATGACCGAGACAACAAGAACAGATGAAATTCAAGTACAAAAAACCCAACCATCCCACGAAAATGTTCATAAGATTACAGCATTGGTGTAGGAGTGCAGCACCAAAAATACATGTATTTCCATGTCCCACACAAAGACATGGAGCAGCAATTGAGTACAAAAATTTTAGAGAAGTATAAGAAGAAGAAAGCACTTGGCTTTTATCAGTTAGTGTAACACACAACAAAACAGGACAAACAGCAATCCTTCCCCTCGACTCTACAAAGAAGAAACAGAAGCAGCAATACTGCCAGTCACAGCAAAGGTATACAGCAATTTTAAGACTGAAACTCAGTCCCTTTCTGGTGCTATGAAGGCAGTATTCTGCTCAGTCACCTTAACATGTATTGTCACAAAAATATAACTCTCTAATCATACATAAAATTTGCTTATTAAACAGATACTCACCATGTTTACCTCTGGTAATGTCAACGTACTGGCAAAGCCTGGGATGAGTGATTGTTTTAAGGATTTGAAATCTCCCCAAAATTTTTATGGAGTTAGGTGTTAGAGGAAGACCATTACTTCCACAAACATCATGTGGCAGAGCTGAGGCAAAGAAGGTGGAGGCACCCATCACAGAGTCTTTTAAAGGAAACATCTTTTTCACACAATCTTAAACTCTTCAGAGCAATTTGTGTTCCTTAAACAGAGAATACAAAGTTAAAATTTATCTGCAAAGTATACAGGTTCCTAATTGTTTATTAATTAATGCAGTTAAAATGGTTTTTTCTCTGTTATGGGAGAAAGGGACATTTTTGCATAATAGACACAACAGTAATAAGACAGTCCTGCTGCATCACAAGCATCACATTTAAAGATGAAAACATAGCCATAGTTTTAAACACAGATTTAAGAATCAAATAAAACTATTTTTAGGATCAGATAAATGCTTTAATACAAGCAATCTTCAGATGACTACTTCAATATAGTAGGTTATCTATTGAAAAGCCAGTAAAGGCACCAAACAGAAAACACTCTTCTAGAATACTACCTTGTAGGAGCAGGCCACAAGTTCAGATTACCACAGCTTTAGTGATGATCCTCTGAACTAGGCATGTCTATTCAGTGTGAGCTCAACAGTTACTCTTCATTTTTCCACAAACAACCATTACACCATTCAAGAACATGAAAATCTAAACCATGCACAAGTGACAGACACTTCCACAGTCAGACAGGTAAAACTGCCTGACCTCTTTACTGGCAAACTATGAATTTAATCTGAGACAACAAGTTCCAAAAACCACATCAAGCCTCTGCTCAGCTCGTTTGTGGACTGCCCAGCAGGTGACTTGAGACAGTACAACTTGACATTAGGGACTATTATCCAAACACATGGACTCCCACAGCATATTTGTACTTGTATACACAGACACACATACAAACAGAGATAGAAAGGCCAATCTTATACCCTCTGAAGTGAGCCCTGGTGTGGAAGTTGTGATGGAGAAGCAGATGGCACTTCCACGTATTGTGGTACAAGAGGCCATAGAACAAAAAAACTCCCACTTCATTAACAGACTCGTGCAGGAGAACAGCATCCAGCTCACTTCAGCACCACAGCACAGAGTCTGGAGGCATCTGTGTGTGCCATCAACAAAATTAGTCCACTGACATTGAAAGCAACTCTCTTGTCAGCCACAAAACAGTAATTATAAGCTCTGAAGAGCAGAGGCAGGTATGCAAGTTCTCCAGGAAACAAAGAAGAAGAACATCCAGGATTTGAATCCCATAAAAGAAATAATACAACAAGCTTAAAGTATAAATGCAACATAATTCTTTCAAACCAGATGTGATAGTTTTTTAACATCTTAGGTGTTTCACGAAACAAAACCCAAGAAAAAGAAGACTATGCAGAGCACTAATGAAGCTATTCACTACTCTTTTATTCTTCTTTCAGTCAACATTAACCTGCTGCTTTCAGGTAAAGGGATTCTCTCCTGAGGAGGTCACACAGGAGAAACAGAACACTTAATTTAGTATCTCAAAATTATTCTTTCTCTATGGGAACAATCTTGTCTCAAGCATAACATTCCCAGTTAAAAACTACTAAACTTATTTTGTGAATCCCAACTGAGAGGGACTCCATACATGCTTCACAAAGATCCTCATATACCAAACGTATTTACTAAGTCTAGACAAATGGAAGTTATGGAATTCTCCTTCTGTTTGTACTAATACAGTCCAATCTAAGATAATAAGCAAATTTAAAAGACTGCTCTAATTTGTGAGGTGATTTTTCTTCCTCTGAAGAAACAGGGACATGAGATATGTACTTTTACATTCTAATAAACATCATCGTATTAAATTTGAATGCATAGCATTAAGGAATCAAACTTGAAAAAGGAAGAAAATAAATCTGGAACAGCACTGTGCATTGCAGTTTTTATAATAGTAGTTGCACTAAAAGTCTTATTTGTAAATACACAATGCTTTCATATCTCATGGATTTTTTGTTGTTGTTGTTGTTAAAATTATTTATTTTGGGATGTGAACAATGCAAATTACAGTTAGAATTTTCCATTGGAAAGACATCAATTGGACAGGCTGCAAGCATGAAGATTTATTGGCATTCAGCAAGTTCCAACTGGAAAACTTTAGCTGTGTGCTTATAAAAAGACCCACATTCCTGCAAAAACATCACGTCTGCCAAATGAACTACTCAGCTTCAGAAAGAAAATATATATTAAATATGTAGAGAAAATAGCTTGACTTAGAGATTGAATTATAATCTTGCTTGGCACAATGGTCCTCTAATATTTGCTCTAAAATAAAAGAACATCAAGTTATTAGAATCAGAGTTGAGGGGAGGGAGAGTAAAATCACAGCTAAGCAGCAAGGTGTATTATGTCTCTAAAAATGTACATATGTAGTGTACAATATATTTACTGAGATAAAACGTTTTCATTTTTACTGTAGAAAAACAGTGTTAGATAATAATTCCCTAGTATACTGTACCTGCATTCAGCTGACATTTAAAAAGGAATTTTCATTAAAACAACTGTTAGATTTTATCAATTCAATAACCTATTTTAAGAAATTAAACTTTCCTTGCACTCTAAATCACTTGGCTTACAAGGATGATTTATACCACCTGCAATGTGCTTAACTTATCACTTGTTTCCTTTGGTTAGAAAGGAGACAGGGAGACATGAGATAAACAAACAATCTTTCTTGACACCCACCTAAAAGAATCAATAAGGAATTTTAAAAGGTATACAACAATTTTAAGAGAACCTGCATTAAAACAGGTTTTCTTACTATAGAATTAATTCTGGGGAAACCATGAAAGCATTTTTAAATTGTTGGGGGTTGCTTTGTTTTGGGTTTTGTTGTTTGTTTCTCCTTAACTCCGCATCAAAGTCTGGCAGAACTATAAACACAGGAGTGTGCTACACCTCGTCCTTAGGTTCAACAAACACAGTTTTACACCTCAAACTCACTTTTACTATGTAGAAGAGACACATACTGCATTAATTTTTTGACTTGAAGGAATGAATTATATCCTGCAAAACATCCCTATTACTTTGAAATAAAAATAGGAAGAGAAAAAGAAAGGTTTGTTATTTTAAACTGACACCAGAAACAGTTAAGGCAAATTCAGTTTTGGGATTGAATTCTGGAAATTCAATTCTGATAATCCAAAACAGCAAGGATGGAAGAGGAAACTAAGACTTGTCTTATTAGTGTCATCTAAAATTACTGAGTCACTGTTTCCAAAGTACAATTTATTCCATATATGAGAGACAGTCTACCACATCTGTGAAATGGGTCTGGCATAAAGATTAGAAGTCCAGAAGTGGATTTGTTGCATCCCACCTCTGAACGACCTTGCCTCGCTCCAAATCTCTCTTAGAAACCTTTACAGTACACAAAAACATTAACTAAAATTCTCAGCAAAACCAGCCACAAAAAAAAAAAAAGAGACCTTTACCAATTCCTATTTAATATTCAGATTAGCACCATTGTGAAAATCTTGCACTAGAGAGCTTGTCCACGACCAAGACTCAGAAATAAAATACAGAAGGGAGCTCTCTCATCTAGTGAGCAACTTCTTTGCTCCTCTGAGTACCTACTGCTCTCAGAGAACAAATATTTTTTTCTTCAGAATTTAGTCTTTTCTATCCATCATTTAAAACCTCTTCAATGCAGCAGCGCTAAGGTGTTTGAGTAAACGGACACTTAGAACTTTGCCCTTAAGAAAAGGTATAAATCCCTCAGAAGCAAATGCTGCCCATACAAACAGACCAACCTGAACGAAACCATCCAGTGAAACTCAGCTGTGGCTCTCCTAAACTGCCCAGGGGCAGAAAAAACGACAAGCAGCTATGTGCTAGTACCTGTCAGTAATTTGAAATGGCTGGTTATTTAAACACCTCTTCAGTATCCAGGTGCAAACATTCCTCACCTAATTAAGGTAGTTTTTTCTGAATTAGAACACAATTATAATCAGAACTGCTACTGGATTACTTTTAAAGCAACTGAGAACAATTCCAGGAGAGCAGGTAGCCTGAACATCCTGTACTTACACAGTTTTTTATTAAATCACAGTATTTTAAACAAAGTAGGCCATGTCATAAGAAGAAATTCTCTCCCAGAATTTCTTTGTTCTTAAGTCTTACAATATTCCTGCTGCAACCACAGTAATTATTAATTGGATAAAGTAACTGAAATAGAAGGTGCAATTTTACCTAGTGCTGCTACTTCACAAAAGAAAACCCCAAAGTGTGATTTGTCTCCCACTGTCCACCACTGTCAATCAGCTATTCACAAAGCTTATTAAAATGCATAATGGGTATTGAAGAAAAGTTGAATTCAGATTCCTATGGAAGGGACCACAGAAAATAATTAAGAGTTTGTCAGGACAATCACAATAATGAGATAGGATACATTATTTCAATAATAATAATAATAACTATTAAGTTATCAACTTAATTTTTTGCAGGGGAGGGGGGGAACTGTGGATTAAATTTAGTTCACCTCACTTTTTTTTTTTTTTAATTTGCAGTATAAACTAAACATCTACCACAAATGCTATAAGATTGCTAAAAAAATCTAAATGTAAGCAGTGTTATGTTTAATCAAATGTTTTACCCTGTGGAATAGCATTATAACATTCTTCTTTTACAAAATTTTCCAACTTCTCTAACATTCACTGAAGTAAGAAGTATTCTGACTATAAATAAAGAATAACTGTGGAGTCACGGGCAGATAATTACAGACAATAAAGCACACCTAAAAGATAAAAAAATCAACATTGTCGTTACTCTGTCCAAACTAGTAAATTCAGTGATGAAAAGAGACACTTTGCTTTGGATTCCAGCTACACCAGTTCAGCAATAGATGAATATAAAAGCATACCAAAATTTTAATTGTAATACTGTTATCCTGTAAATACATACTGTTATACTGTAAACAGAATATGCAAACCAGATTTTGACAAGGCTCCGGTGCCATTATTTTGCCTTCAACAAATACTGAGTTTTGGGGGTGGGGAAAACCCAGACAGGTATCACGGTGCTTTTGGCACAGGTAACTAACACCTATTTAAAGAGTTATTTCATGGAAACGCTAAACAGTAATTCCTCTGCAGGGGTACTTTAAAGCGTCACTTCCCTCAAGTGAAACAGAGCATTTTTAAACCTTTGCTGATGGCTTGTGTCTCAGCAATATTTGGAATTTTGTCATATATACACAAATATTCTATGTTCTATACCTGCATTACATTGCACAGGAGTTACTGGTGATGTCTGGAGCATTCATAAGGTCACTGCACAGATTAAAACGTTGCTGCTTTGAAAGCCAGGCATAAGAATTAGCGAAATTTACAAGGACACCTCGAGTTTCACACCCACAGCTGGAACATTCAGCCCAGTGGGAGAAATTAACAACACTTGGACGGCACGAAGAAGACAGTTAGTTTTTGGTATATATTTTGACAGATCAGAATAGATATTCTTTCAGCCCCGTTTCTCTCCTTCATAAACCTGTTATCTCTTCTACCTGTCGTTTCCTTTTACCCGCTTTTCAGCACCTTTTGCTACACCGGGGTCCCTACAAAGATGCAAAGACGGGGTTTGTCACCATTTGATGCCTCCGACAGAAGCGGCTGCTCAGGGACTTGAACCTCGCAGGAGAGAAACCAGCCTCGCCCGGCTCGCTAAACGACTGCTACGACCCCGTACCGCTAGGAGCTGGCCAGCCGGGATTCCTCGGGGGAAGGGCTCTGGGATGGGCACCGGGAATGCTCCGGCTGCTCCCTGCGCCAGCACCGCCTCCCCGCAGCCGCGTCACTCCGCTGCGCCAGCCGACCGCTGTAGGGCGGCAGGGGCGGCCAGCGCGATGCCTGAGTGCTATTTCGTTCGGGTCTTTAAAGAAACCACAAAAAAAAACTAAAAAGAAAGCGTTTAACACCCTTTCCGACCCTCCTCTCACCGCGTACGCGCCAGTGCTCTGGGAACAAGGCGTTGGGCGCTCTTTAGCGCGGTGCTTGCAGAGCGCAGCGAAGCCTTTTTTTTTTTTTTTTCCGGGGCGCCCGCCTCTAAACCTCAGGCGCTCCCTCGAGCAGCCCCGGGCAGCGGGTCCTTCTTCTCCGCGCGGGCGGCGGCGGTGGCGGCGGCTCCCGGTTCATGTGAGTGCCCCGCGGGGGCCGCGGCGGATCTGCCCGTGCCCCTGCCCGTATCCCTGCCCGTATCCCTGCCCGTATCCCTGCCCGTATCCCTGCCCGTATCCCTGCCCGTATCCCTGCCCGTATCCCTGCCCGTATCCCTGCCCCTGCTCTGCCCTTGGCTCTGCCCCTGCCCCTGCCCCTGCCCTTGGCTCTGCCTTCGGCCCTGGTCTGCCCTGCCCCGGGCTCTCTCCCTCTCCCCGCGCCCCCGTGTGTGCCCCACCCCGGCAGTTCCTCACCAGCCGCCGGGCCAGCGCGCCCGCCGTGGCGGCATCACACCCTTGAACTCTCTTGGGGGTGCAGGGGGGAGCCCCGCTGGTTTGCCGCTTCTGACTGGCTCCGAGCCGCCGGCGCTAACGCGGGTGCCCCGCGGAGGGGAGGGGAGGGGCGGGGCGGGAGCGGCGAGCTGCGGGAAGCGGCGCCAAACTCGCGGTTCGGTTCGCACGTGGGGTTTGCCCGCAGGGCTCGACGCGCCCTGTGGGCCGCAGGGAGGCTTTGCGAACGCGGGCACCGCGCTGTGAGCGGGGGGCCGCGCCCGCACGTGAAGGGGCCCATCCAAAATCAGTCGCAGTTCCTGCCGTTCCCCTGGAATGAGGGGCTGGGCAAGCGGCGTGGTGGTGGGCTGCTTGGAGAAAACGCTGTAATAGCCCGGGAAGTGCAGGCAGGGAGAATCTACCGAGCTTGGCACAGGAACGGCTGTTACTGTGGGAAAGTAAATGCTGCCTCAGTTTCGATTGTAGAACATTCCTTACGCCTTTCAGTAGACTTCAGTGAGCGAAAAGCTCAGTATTTGGTCCATCCTCAGTAGAGATACTTCCAAGGTTTAACATACAGCACATGCTCTGTTTGGGGATGGATGCAGTGAATAACAGGGATGAGCTTATGGGTTATTGCTTGTTAGGTCCCATTACGAGTGCACAGCCAACCAGTAAGTGGCAACACTGCTGAAGTGCTCTGTAACCTTAGGTGACCTGTAAGTTTCTTTGATCTGGGTTTAGCAGCTGGCAAAATGAACAAAATACTACTACAAACTAAGTAATGTTTGCGTTTCTTGCTCTCTCTGTTTCTTTAACGCAGAATTTTTTATTTTTTTTTAATGAAGTCATTGCTTTTCACAAATAGTTTTGTGATTCGGGATGCTTCCATGAAATCTGTAGTGAGGTGGGGCAGCAGGGATTCAATACAGCTTCCTGATTTTGTATGTCCTTGTGATTCACTTGCTGTATTATTCTCCAGTTACGTTTAAATTTTATTACACTGTTTGGCAAACCTGTTGGAAGGTAAGCCCAGAGTCTATAAAATCAAGCAAAACCAAAGTCCCAAACTTGAATTTTTAATACTGGATATTGTTAAAAGTTTTGAGGCCTTAGATATGGGTTGGTAAAGTGGTGGAGTTTTTTTTTGTTTGTTGGGGTTTTGGTTTTGTTTGGGTTTTGGTTTTGGTTGCTGGTTTTTTTTGTGTTTTGTTGACCTAGCCTCAAGGGTCACTGCTTATCAATGCAGCTTCGTGGAAATATATTCTCTCCACTCTGTCACAAGTTAACAATATATTCCTATTACAGCAATTTTGACTTAAAAGTATTTAAGCAATATATATCTGTGAGTTGCTTCCATGTTTTAGCTCCACCAGATCTTGAAGGTGAAAGATGTTGAGGGCAGAGTGATTTAAGTCAAAATGATTGTTAAAACCATCTTCAGCAAATTTCTGCTCAGGAATGTCTTTTTCCAGTTATTAATATGAAGCTTGTGTGTATTTTCGATATATTGCTATAGGTGTATTCATTTCTTTCACACCTTTAAATGTAAAGAGAGAAGGAA